ATCTTTCATCTAATCTTTCATCCCATATTTCCTTGAATTTCACAATGGAATGTTCTTTAATTAGGTTTGTCACTACCGATTCTGTCAGTTCAATGGAAGGGCAAGGTACATAAAGTATTTGGTTGGCTGCCTTCTTGGCTAGTGAATCAGCATCAGCAAGACGATTACCTTTCGTTGTGGCGTGACCTTTGATCCATCCTAAAGGTGACATTAGACGTTAATTTGGAACAGCGACTTTATCATTGTATGGGAGTCGATGGAGAACATTTTAATCATCTAATTCAATAAATTTTACTAATGGGATAATCCATTATTATAATTTAGTTAATTTTATCTGCATTACATTTAATAAAGTATCAAAAGAAGGTAATATATGATATCGGTATACCTTTCTAATAATGTGCCACACATAGCATATTTCTTATTTAAAATTAAGGGGTTGGAGAAGTGGAAGGGTGGGGGTTGACACACATCAGATGTCTGTATTGTAAAAATGTGTCCCCTTTAGAAAAAAAATCGACCTGCTTCAGCATTTTCTTAAAATCCAATGAATACTGCCAAATAACAGGGTTTTGAGTGGCCCAATCTGTATACTAGAACAACGGCGAGGAATTTGTGAATTCGAGTATAGTGTAAGAAATGGCGGAAGTTCCTTTTAGAAATTTGAAGACAAGAACGGAAGCCGAGGTAAAACTTCTAGAGGCTTCGATTTTTGGCGAAGAACTGCAAGAAATGTTCGCAAATCCACCAAAATTCGCAATCGAACCCGCTTATGTATACAGGGTGTTCCAGATTTAAACGGACACAGCTTAATGGAAGGTAGAGTATACTTAGCTGAGTTCAAAACACCCCATACTTAGCCTTTAATCTTACTCGTTTCTGAGATATAGGGTGTTTTATGTTTTTTGCCAAAACTATAGCCATAATTTAATTTAAAAAAATTTCAGGTCCGGACTTTCTTTTTTTATATTGCTCTTCTTAGCTAGAATATATCCTGTATATCAGATTTTAATAAATGTTACTGGACATTTAAATAGTACATAGATCAATAAAAAATAAAATAATGCAATCATATTTTTATACCATAGAAACTTACACTCATGAACAAAAGTAATTTAGCTCAAAATACTGTATATGAAATAAATTATATTATTTGACACAAGCCTACTGGTATTATTCAGTTTTTTCTACACCTATGTCAGTAAACGTTAAAAATCGCACCGTCAACATTCCTTGTAAATGACATTTAAAAATAATATGCACGTAATAAGATCTCATACCATACACGTGCGTTTTGATAAGAAAACTTAAATTTCTTAGTTTAATAAAATTGCAATCAAATTTTTATCTACGTAAGACTTTATTTGGTTTATTTACATAAATTTAGTCAATTTAAAAACATAAAAACTTTTAGCATTAGCGAGACACATTTTAGATTAAAAAAGTGATTCCCCTAAATGTCAGCAACACATTATACAATTTTAAAAAACTAAGTCGCGTTTTTTTTAGCATGCTATGGAAATAAATGTCGTTTCGTTTATATTGTCAATTTTTATAACAAAATATTATTGTATTCGAACATTTTCTCAACTTTACCTACGAATATGTCTGTTAGTAGTGAAAGTGATGAAATTATGAGCACTCCACCTGAGATTTTAGACACACATAATTTTTTACTGCTAAAATTCAAAAAAGGTACGAAATTACCTATCGAAAATGTATGGATTGGCGACTCAAGCATATGCCCTTTATTTAATAGAAGAAAATAAGTGGGCGTAGAAAAAATATAGTACGTTACACGAGTTGTAAGCCCATTACGCACTCGTGAAATTTACGTATTCGCCGCTGTGCGGCTTCGTGCGTAAACTTTTTCACTTCGTGCGTAATGGGTTACTTACAACTCTTGTTACGTAATATACTATTACATTAATCATATTTAAGACGGAATGAGTGATGGTGTAATTTGGCACATATTAGCAGTTGACTAAATTGAGTTTTCAGCTCGTTAATAAAATACCTAGTTTTTTGAACTTTTAAATTTAATTTCATTAGAGCTTTAGTTCGTTTAAGTTTCATTTCATTTTGTAATTTCTTAAGGATTAACGTAAAAAGAGGAAATGAATGAGGTGGTTCGATATCATCCTTCTGTTAGTGTAAGAATTAGTAATGAATAAGCAGTATCTAGATACCAGAAACAAGTGTATGGAGAACTTAAAAAAACTTAAATTTGTATTTATTTTATGCACAAAATGTACAGCAACTTGAACACACATAAAATGTTTGGTGTGGAATTTATAAAAATCACTTAATACCCGAGCACAGTTATTGGAAAAAATTAATGATGTATGTAACAACATTAGAAATAAACCGGAAAAAATTTACTTTAGTTTTAATTAATTATTTGTTCCTGTTAGTTTGTTCTATTACTTTATGAAATAAAGTGAGCCCGGTCCTGTGTAGATGTTCAATTTCCTAATGGAAAATGCTGTAGTTAAAAAGAAATGAAGATGGTACCTAATTTGTGTAGAGTTCTAAAAGTACAGAGTAAAATATTTGTTTTTAATATTGTAAATACTGATTTATAATATTGTAGTCGCCATTATAAAAATTTACTGTAAGAAAGTCAAGATGGTACCATTAAATATTATTACATTATTTATCCGATATAAAAATAGCAATATAAAAAAAAGAAAGTCTGGCCCTGAATTTTTTTAAAATTAAAATTTGGCTTTGATTAATCTAAGAGAGTGTAACTTTTGTAAAAAAATTTATTAAAAAAATCATGATTCCTATACTTTCCTTATATCTGTATACAGATAGGAAAGTAAAAACAAAATGGCCGACTTTAGTTTTGGCAAAAAAATCATAAAACATACTATATCTCAGAAACGAGTAAGATTAAAGGCTCAGTATGGGGTGTTTTAAACTCAGCTAAGTTTATTCTGCCTCCCATTAAGCTGTGTCCGTTTAAATCTGAAACACCCTGTATAAATAGATGAATTTTGCCGTTAGAGTTCAGTTAAAGCTAAATATTGGAATTGTACAAATAAATGTCGTTAGTAAAATTAGAATATAATTGTTTTTATTATTGTAATACCCAATATAATTACAACCTACAAACTTGTACACAAGAACATAATTGTCAAATAATTAATTCATAAATTACATTGTCTGTAGTCTGTCTTACTGTAGGTTTTCAATACAGCAATTAACCAATTATAGAGGGTCAAATAAATATTTGGAAGTTATTACTCAAACGTTGTCAAATACACTTTTCATAGTTCTTATCTTTTAGAATCTTGGGTTCGAATCCGCCGGTGATAGGGATTTTTATTTAATTTAGTGAATTAAAAATTAATTCTAATGCATACATAGAATTACCCACTCGATTATTCACTATTTGGTTCTAATTAACATATACCGTCGGATAGTGACATATTTAGGTCCCCATTTTCACATGCAAGCCTAGAAGAGGATTGAAAAGTACATTGATGTTGAGTAGAATGAAAGATAATTTAGAAGTGGCCCCTGCAGTGATAACAGAAATAAAATGTGTCTGTTGTCCATATTTTCTCGCAATCCGTGTTCACTAAATTATTAATTATGTTCATTAAATGATTAACTAAATAGAACTTGGCTTCGGAAAACCAAAGGCTTGATTTGAAAGTAGCTAAAGTTTTTAAATAAGAGCGTAATCTTGCAAGAAATTGCATTTTGGGGTCGGAAATATAACGGATTTTTTTTTAATTTTCTGGTTACTGGAATATTGTGTGCATATTGCCACCATTTTCTCACTCAAGCCATCAGACATATGCTTAGAAAACAGATCTTAAGACCATATAACAAAAGGCATACTTAAGTGTCGGAAACGGAATAGAAAATCTAGAAATGTTTATGCAGGGTTATTATTTGGATTGAATAATTTAGCATACATTTTCTTTTATATGTATAAAGTAGCCAAAAAACGCCCCAGCCGCTGTTCGCTCTCTAGATCCATATTTTAGATTGATCAATCCCATTCTCTTAGATAATCTCTTTACAATGTCCCTCCATTTTTCCCTATCCTGTGCTTTTTCTTGCCAATTATTCACTCCTGCCTTGCGTAGATCTTCTTTCATTTCCTTCAGCCATCCTGATCTGGATCTTCTACGTCTTCTTCTCCCTCCGGGATCCCATTGTAACGTTAAATGAACCAATGTTCCATTTCCTGCTCTCCAAACGTGTCCCAACAATCTAACTCTGGATTGTTTCATTTTTATTATTATATCTTTTTCTAGCTCTTGTTTAATTTCCTCATTTGTTCTAATTATATATTCTTCTTCTGTAATTTTTATTGGTTCTAATATTGCTCTCATAATTTTTCTTTCCATAATTCTTAGATCTTCCTCTTTTTTTTTGTCATACTCATTGTTTCTGCAATGTACAGTAGTATTGGTCTGATTATTGTGTTGTATATTTTCATTTTTGGGTTTAATGTGAGTAATTATTCATTTGCGTGAAAGGCGTGACTATTTTTCCTGATATTTCCAGTCCCATAATTTTTTCTTCGCTTTTATCAATTTCGTTCAAGATGTATACCATGAGTTTTCTTGTTTTTGAAATTATGTCATCTGCATATGTAATGACTTCCCATGTTCTCAGTGTTCCTTTATTAATTTTCCTCGTCACGTACTCTAATGAGAGGTTGAACACAGTGGCATTAATTAAGAATTCTTCTGTAGCTCCATTTTGTGTTTTAATTTTAATTTTTGTTTTTTGTATCGTCATTGTTATTAACCGCCTTAACTTTATTGGTATTCCTAATTTTTGTAGGGCCAACTGCAGTCTTTTTATTGAGTTAAAGGCTTGTTTAAAATCAATAAAAAGCATTTATAATTCTATTTTGTGTTCATACGCCTTTTCCATTATTTGCTTTATTATATGGATTGCATCTATAGTTGTTTGCGCTAGCCGTCTTTGTATTATTGCTAAAAGTATTTTGTAAGCTGTATAAAGAAGTGTTATTCCTCTATAATTTTGACATATTTGTTGGTCATCTTCTTTATGGATTGTTTATCACCTCTCCTATTTCCCACTCTCTCGGCATTTTTTTGCTTTTTCCATATATTCTGAATTAGAGAAAATAGTCTTTCTTTCAATTCGTTGCCTTCATATTTAATGAGTTCGATATTAATTCCATCTTTTCCTGGTGATTTTCCATTTGCATTTTTCCCAATGACCTTTTCTAGCTCTTTTCTTGTTGGGTCAGCAATTATGTCCCTTTGTTCTATTTCCTCGTCCTCTATCATCTCAGATTCTTCCATCTTCGGATCGATTAAGAGATCTTTAAAATAATCTATCCACACCTGCTTGTATTCTTCATCTTCATCTTCCAGAATCACTTCTCATTTTCTATTTTTTATTCCCTTTGTTTTGCCTTTGTAGATTTTGTTCTGCTCTTTAATTTTCTTGTAAAATAATTTTTTTTTACTTCCTTCTTGTTCAATTATTTTTATTTTATTGTCTATCCACTCTCTTTTACTTGTTCTTATCAGTTTTTTGGTTTGTTTTCTCAGTTTTTCATAGGCCATTTTATTTTCTATTTTATTTGTTATCAGCCACTTGATTCTTGCTTGTACCTTTTCTGTTATTACTTCACTACATTTTTCATTGTACCATTCTTTTCTTAGCTTTTTCTGTGCAACACCAATGTTTTCTTCTGCTGCTACTTCTATGCTTACTCTAATTACTTTCCATTCTGCTTCTCACGTTTATTGCTTAATATTGATTTTACTTTCTCTGCATATTTATTTTTTACTTTTTCGTTGTTTAGTTGACCTACATCCCATTTGTGCTGCATTGTGTTAATTTTTTTAGCTCTTTTCACTTTTTGTTTTAAGGTAGCAGTGTCCATGTAATGATCGGAATCTGCACATGCTCCTCTAAATGTCCTTACATCTTTTATTGTCGAATATTTTTTTTTTGTGATGAGTACGTGATCAATTTGATTTTATGTTTTTTCATCTGGTGATATCTAAGTCACTTTATGCATTTTGGGATGCTTAAATTTTGTAGAGCTTATGATTATAATTGTTTGAGCTGCTAGGTTACATAACCTCTGTCCGTTGTCGTTTGTTTTTTCGTGTATGGTGTATTTACTTGCTACTTGCTCTATATGATCTTTTTGCCTATCTTTGCATTAAAATCTCCAAGCGCTATCATTACATCTTCCTTTGGAATTTTTTCTATTTCTTCTTCTACTTTATCGTAGAAAGCCTCTTTCTTCTCCGGTTTGGTTTTTTCCGTAGGGGCGTATATATTAAGCAATGATACATATAATGGTTTTGCATTTACTCGTTGATAGGCTATTCTTTCATTTATTGGGTTAAATTCTATTGTTTTTTCTTGTTAATTACCTAGCATCATAAATCCCACCACATACTGTCTACGTTTTTCGTGTGCAGAATAATGCAACGTATATCCCTTTTTCTCAATTGTTCCTTTGTCTTTCCATCTTATTTCCTGAATTACTGCAACACCTATGCCATGTCTATTGAGTTCTTTTCGTATTTCTCGCACTTTTCCAGATTCCAGGTACTTATTTTTTATTCACTTCTGCGTTTTCTTTTATTTTTATTTTTCTTTTCTATAACTTCTTTTCTTTCAGCATTCGCTGCTTTATTTTCATGAGTCTTTGTTTCTGTTTCTTGTCCAGTTCTTTGCCAAGTCGTTTCCTTCATTTTCTCTCCGTTGTTTTTCTTTTCTTTTCCTTTATTGTCCTCATTATTTCCTGTTCTTTTCGTCATCTTGTTTACCATTTCATACTGTTCTGCCTCCTTATCTGGTGATCTTTCGCTGAATGTTCTTCCAGCTTTTCCTTTTTCCATTTGTTCTTTATTAGATGTGCTGTTGTGTTTCCAAAACATAAATCTTCTACTGTATACATCTTGTCATTTATATATAATTTATTGTAATTTATGTTTGCTTTAAGTCCATTCTCTCTAGCTTCCTTTATATGCTTTCTTAATATTTTTCGCTGTTCTTGAATTTCTTTCGGATAATCTTCATCTATAAATTTTAGCTTCGAGGTTGCTCTAATTATTTCTCTTTTTTTATGCCAATCCCTGAATTCTACTAACGTTGGCCTTACTTTGTTTTCAATTTTATTTCCTATTCGTTTTAATTCATCTATGTCCTCTTTTTCATTGAGTTTCACTGCGAGTTTCTCCATCACTTCTTTTGTTTTATTTTTCATAATTAACATATCCTCCTTATCAGTTTCCTCGGTTCTAAAGATAACTATCTTTTTTTTCTAGCTCTATTATTCGTCCTTCTTGTGTTTTAAATCTTTCTTTTATAAGTATAATGTTTTATTATGAAAATAGTGCGCCATCATTTAAAAAATATAAAATTTATTTTAAAAATATTGGTAATAAAATTAATTTTATGAATAATTTTACAAACTCTATGACGTTGATGTTTATGCTATCTCCATCGTCTTTTCTATCTTATCCATCGTCTTCTCCAACTGCTTCTCAATCGTCTACTTCATCTTGCATTCGATCGTCTGCATATCGTCCATATCTTCATTGTGATTATCATCTTCGACAGTATCATCTACATTCTTTTTTTTTATTATCATTGTCCTCTGAAGTTGCAAAATTAAAATAAAAATAATATAAAATGCTTCACATACAGTATCAGCTATTAAAAACCTTTCAATACGGTTTGCTAGTGTCGAAGCAAAAACTACAGAGACTTAGCATTAGTTCGAGAAGGGAACGAATAATATCAACACTGCCAACGGCCCGGCAGCGTGGGGATATCTGTCGTTGTGTTTCTATTCGCAATTCATATTACACACACATACATACAAATAAGCACACTGAGAATTATCCCCACAAAACCAGTCGGCCGTTTACTGACAACGTTGTTATTTTAGTTTCCTGCTAGCAATAATGCTAACTCTCTATACTTTTCCCTTCGGCGCTAGCAAACCGTGCAACCATTGCTTCAAGCGAACATGGAGTCCATCTTACCGAGATATATCTTGCATAAGCCATATGGTTCTAAAACAAAACAAAGCTCAGGATTTGGAATATATTCCAGTTTCTTAAACCTAAATATAAACAATAGTGCCAGTGTAGTTCAAACAGAGCTAACGGGGATTCTTATAGCAGCAAAAGAAATCACCAGAAACAATATCACTGGAACATGCTCATCTATACAGATAGCAGACAAGCACTACTCACCCTGAACAGACCACGAATTTACTCAGGGTTAGTACTAGAATTTCACGAAGTTTTGGTCGAAGTATACATCAAAAATGTGGTCACCTTAAGATGGAGCAAAGGTCACGCCACATCGAAAGGTAACCGTCTTGCTGATTCAGTAGCCAAGAAAGCAGCTAACCAAATACTTTTTGGACCTGGCCCTTTTATTGACCTGACAAAATTGGTAGTGGCAGACCTAATTAAAGAACATTAAAGAGTTGCCAGGGAGCTCTTAAGTTATCCTCTATAATAATTTTGAGAGCTCCTTGCACTCTTTCGCAGAGTATGTTCTCAAAACTCCCTATTTGCAGAATGACCAGGTCATCTGCATAAGCTATTGTGTAGTGACTGTCATTATTGAGGAGGCTGATGAGGGTGTCAAGGACTATATTCCACAGTAGGGGTGATAGTACCCCTCCCTGTGGACATCCCCTCGCAACCAAGTCTCTTATATTCATATTTCTACACTTATGTTTACTGCTCGCTTTGAGAGTATGTTATGTATCCACCCATTAACCATCTGTGGAATATTTCTGTTGGTTAATTAGTGTTTTATCTTGGGGAAGGTGGTGTTGTCAAAAGCACCTTCTATGTCTATGAAAACACCCAAGGTGGAATCACTTTTTCTAATCATATGTCAAACGATGAGCATAAGAAAATGATCGCAATTTGCATGCATTTTTCCTGCAATTTTTCTATGTTGTGAAAATATGAATGCCACGCTCTACACTCATGATTATGGTCGGCCTGAATTATATGAATTTCAAATTATTCAGTCTTAACAACTGTGAAAATTTATGGGACTTTGAATGAACGTTTTTGTAACGGGCTGCAAACCTATTACCGACTTTTTTGGTGTTATCTTTTTCAATCATTACTGCTTGTTGACGTAGGTACATTAGATACTTTCAGACTTCTTATTTATAGGATTTAGAAGTTCACATAAAAAATGGATTATATAAGAGAGTTCGACATACAACTTGAAAGAGAATATTACTATGCTGGCGAAACTGTAAAAGGGCACGTTGTTTTAGATACGGTTGAAAATTTTAAATTAAGAAGTAAGTTTTTAAAATATAAACTTTATTGTAATAGTAATAAAAAGAAAAGGCACCTGTCTACAATCTAGCAAATAATAAATAAAATTAGGGGTCAAATTTCGTTTAACCGAAATCAGTTACCTTAAAATTGTTGCCATAGCTACCGTTGCCATGGTAACCAGTAAATAAAAACCCAAATCTCATGGTGAGGAAATGCATAGTTGCCAAGTTAAAGATAATTTAATGTTCACTTTAGTTTAGACGAAATCAGTTATGGTGAAACTACTGTTGCCATCTGTCCTTTTTTATTCGCAGCAGCACCGGCTCGGCCTGCGCGCTCCCAGAAACAGAAACCCAGTCCCAATGCTGCTTTTCCGAACGCACTTCACCATTCTAGAAGTGTGCAGCTGTCAAAAGAAATTTGGTTATGTTCAATTTTCCAAATAAAAACTAAATCAAACGAATTTTTGTTACTACAACCAGCGTTTAAAGGTTATATCTAAAATATTGATTGAAAATAGTAGTTTGTGCAACAAGAGTGGAAATTATTTTTGACTTTTACATGCCGTATCCTCATCTTCACCTCCACATTTAGGATTTTAGATTTAATACTCTTAATTAAATTATTTTCATATAGTTTGATTCAAATTTAAGATTTTCTTTTAAATATGGACTAATTAAAAATGCTATTTATTTATCGATTCTACACAAAGATAACTCATTTTTATGTATATTTAATCTCAATAATTAAAAAATGTACTGACAATTAGTTTAGTTTAAAATTTTTATAAATAATTAGGCATTCCAACGATCTATCCAAATGGCTACCAGTGGGGACTGACAGTTTAGATATGGCAACCCTGTTGTCATTAACAGGGTCAATGATACTCATATAGTTATATAGATTTCTCAAAGCTGGTCGTTTGCGGGCGGCCATATTGCCTGGCAAATATTTATTAATTTAAATCGGTTTAACAAAAATTTGTTTTAAAAACAATTTTCATCGTTTAG